TATTATATATATTTAATTATTCTATTTCAGAACTGGCAAACTGCATTATCCCACAGACGTGTGCGGTCCGCTGTTTGAGGAGGAACTTGAGTTCTGGGGCCTCGATTCGAATCAGGTAGAACCATGCTGCTGGTCAACTTATAGCATACATCGCGATACGCAAGTGAGTAAAAATACCTATAAAAAAAACTTACTGAAAATTATGAGAATATCTATTTTGCTTGCCCTTGCAGAACACCTTAGCTATATTAGATAAACTAGATATTGAAAATGAGAAACCCACGGAAGAGCAAATAGCGCGTCTATTTGGCTTCGAGGAGGCTTTAAGCAACGGCGAGCTTAACTGCTGGCAACGTCTCAAGCCCAAGATCTGGGCCATGTTCGATGAGCCCTCTAGCTCAACGGGCGCTAAGGTATATCCACTAATTATATACATATATTGCCTGTATCATTCTTATACATATATAAATCGCATTCGCTTTTCAGTTTGTTGCTGGCATGTCGGTATTCTTTATATTTGTTTCTGTGATATCATTCTGCCTGAAAACCCATCCTGGTTTTCGCGTGGACCTGCCCACCAGCTACAGCGGCTCCGCTGGCCACGATCCGCTTGCGTCGCCCATACCTCAGCAACAATCGCAGCTGCATCAGCAGCAGCAACAGCAACATCAATACCATCAGCATAGTATAACGCCACCTAGCGGCAGTATTGGTCCCACATTTCGTGTCACGAACTATACGAGCTACAGCAGCGGCAATCTGAGCGCTGCCCAAGCCACGCCCATAGCCAGCATGAAGGGGCGACAGCGTCTGAAACGTGATCTCAATACGACAAACACCTTCAATGAGTTTTTCGAACAAAAGCTTCTGGGTAATGATGGAGGACAACAACATGGCTGGGTCGAGACCTATGGCCAGCCACATAAGGCGTTCTTCTACGTGGAGCTCGTTTGCAATGTCTGGTTCTTCATCGAGGTGGTCATCAGACTCATTGTAAGTTTATTTAAAAAAAAATTAAAGAGATTTAGAGATAAAATTATAGGACTTTGCCCGAAATAATTGAGAAGGATATCATTGAAAAGCGCAGTATATGTACACTATATATATCTTTATCATATTCTCTTCATCTTTCACAGGTCTCGCCCAATCTGTGGCAGTTCATCAAGTCACCGGTGAACATAATTGATTTCACGGCCACGCTCAGCTTTTATACGGATGTTATGCAACGCATGGGCGAATATACGGGCCTGCTGGAGGCCTTCTCCATAGTGCGCATTATGCGTCTCTTCAAGCTGACACGTCACTCGCCCGGATTACGTATACTCATACACACCTTCAAGGCCTCGGCCAAGGAATTGACGCTGCTTGTGTTCTTTCTCGTTCTGGGCATTGTCTTCTTCGCCAGCCTGGCGTATTATGCTGAAAAATTGCAGGTGAGCTGGTGTATAAATGTAAATTAGCTACATATATATATATATATATATATATATATGTATGTGTGGGGTGACCCATCAGGAGTAAGAGTATTCGGCTAGCTATATTTCTGCTGCTCTTGAAGTAATTGATTATACGCAGCTATTGAAATATTCTTTATTGTTTGCCATTTTATTATGAATCTTTTTAAACCCGCGAAGCATATGTGAATAATTTGAAAAATTGTAAGAAATTCCATCTCAGCTCATGGTTTACAATATTCATTTTAAGTTACATATTTTTTGTTGTATTTAATTTTAATACAAAAAGAAAAGTTCATTGCATTTATCTCGTTGTTCAGCTACTTCAAGGATTTCTTTTCCATTGTTGTGTTCTATTGTTGTTCTACAATGCCTCCCAAATGTATACTACACAATTATGTTGGAGCATGTGCTGTGCGGCTTTTGTGTCCCTAGGTTGTTCACCAGATTGACTGGGGCTGACTGACCACTCAAGCACCCTACAGCAATTTAAAAAGATTGACTACTGAATACCCTGTCAAAAATAATGAAAATATTGTAATGTTAACATTATGTTAACAGATAACTAACAGTAAAAAGCAAATGGTTATATACCGTTTTATAATGTTTATGACCTAAAGTCTGTTAGTTTCGTCACTCCAACTGTTGATATATTTACTTAAAATTGGTTAATGGAATTAAGATACTCTATAAAAAAAAGTTTGTCAAGTTTGTTTTTCTAACATATATAAAAATTATATATATTCAACATATATAAAAATACGGATTATTTTCAGTTTAACAGCAGCTTAACTAAGTAATTAATTAATAATTATAGATGMCAGGGTATTTCAACACCCACATTACATAACTTTGTATGCTCCAATTTCACTTGTTACTTATTTTTTGTTCAATTCCTTTGGCCTGCAGGACAATCCAGATAATCAATTCAAGAGTATACCACTGGGCCTATGGTGGGCTATCGTCACGATGACCACAGTGGGCTATGGCGATGTGGCGCCCAAGACCTATCCGGGCATGTTTGTTGGTGCACTGTGCGCCCTGGCTGGCGTGTTGACCATAGCCCTACCCGTACCTGTTATCGTTAGCAACTTCTCCATGTTCTATTCGCACACGCAGGTGAGTTCAAGGAGGCGAAAGGGGAAGAATAATAAATGTGGCTAATCATTTTAAATACTCTCAACAGGCCCGCTCCAAGTTGCCCAAGAAACGTCGCCGAGTTTTGCCCGTGGAGCAGCCGCGTCGCAAACGTGAGCCGCCGGCGCCGCATCGCGGCCGCACGAACGCCATCAAGCAGACGACGCCGACGGTGGGGGGTGTGGTTGGCGCACATACCACGCTGCAAACGCCCGCGCCCATGTTTAAGGATGCGTTTGGTAGCGCCAAAATTGGTAAGTGCCAGACAAACTTTCTCTCTATCTCTCGCTTCCTCCTCTGTCTCTCTCTCTCTCTCGCGCTCTCGCTCTTTCGCGCGATTGCCTATCCCATTTACATGCCCAGCTGTTGTTGTAGTTGTTGCTTCAAAGTTGTTTATAATTTTCTGTTGTTTTTCTTCTTCTTCTTGGTTTTATTTTGCTGGTTGCTGTTGTGTTGCATTTTTTGGTTTCTCGTTCGTGTGTTTAGCCAAAAAGCCAACAGGGCCATAACTCGCTACAACCAAAACACAAACAGACAACAGAACAGGCTCAGCTTAATTTGCTCTACACACGCACACGCACAAACACGTACACATAAACACACACACATCAGACATGCCACACACACATATGTTCGTCAGCCAGCCAGCTGAGCTCTCTCCAGCGACCAAAACAAATTTCATTCAATTTATTGTTTAATTATTTTTATTATTTATTCACCCTTTAGTGGCTCAATGCAGCGCCCCCACTTTGGGCATGAGTATGTGTGTGTGTCGGCGCCTCCCTGGGGCGTCTTTTATGGCCAGAGCATGCAAACTATGCTCCAACTATTACTCAAAAGCAGCTGCGTATGTGGCTTAACTCGGCAGTTATTAATCCTGAGTGCTTTGTTGGCCTCTAGCCAAACTTTTATTCAAGTTAAGTCAAAGGCATTTCTCTCCTGGGTTTCTAGTTTTCTATTCTCTTCTCATTTAATCTCTTTTTGGGTTTGTATTGCTTAATATTATTTATTATTATTATTATTTGAGTTTATATACGATAGTTCCAGATAATTTTTGATATTCATACAAACTTGGAAAATAATATATAAAAATGGAAAATATTCTGTGTCTATTTGATTTCAAATATTTAAAAAATTTTATTCATTGAATTTTATTTACGTTTATTTAAGATGTGTAGGTATCTAAAAAAAAAAAAAAACCTTGATTTTATTCGTCCTTTTTATTTCGATTATTTATTATTAGATTATAGTAAAAATTTTGATTTATTTAAAGGAACGTGTTATGATTTTTTATTACTATTTATTTCATTTTTTTTCTTGCCTCTTTATTCAGTTTTAATTTTTTTAACTTGAATTTAGATTTATTTATATTTTATTTTTTGTATTT